ACTTTTTAACTCTTCTGAAATCTTTTTCTGGAACAATTTGCTTCAATCTTGTTGGAAGATCATTCCATACCTTGGGCAGAGCAACCAGCACACATTTGTCACCCAGTTTTGTCCTGCTTCTAAGAATTACCATCATTTCTGACAGAACCGAACGCAATGCATGTCCCACATTAACTTCAATTCTTTTGCAAAAAACCTCTTTCGGATATTCTGGCCCACCACCATGTACGCAACCATGAGCCATCACGACCATCTCAAATCTTATCCGTTCCCTGATCGGCAGCCAGTGGAGACTTTCCAACCACTTTGTAATGTGATCACGTCTACATATACCAATGACCAATCATCTTAAAATTGCAAAAGCAGTCCTAATTGACATCAATAAACCAAAAATAAATATACAACAAAAAATGACAACCCCACTTCCAACCCGGCGCTTAACCAACAATGAAAACAAAGAAGTAATAAAAACTAGCATTGTAAAAGTGACATGAAGAATATGATGCTATCGATGAAAAAAAGGAGACCAAAGAAGGTGACCAGCCAATAAAGAAACCTGACACTTAATTTCCATCTAAGTTCATTTTGACAAAGTCAATTTCCATCTAAGTTCATTTTGACAAAGTCAATATTTCCCTATATAAACATCAAAAAGCACTGATGATGATTCATTCTGAATCAAAATATGGCCTTATTTGCTGCATGAATTTGGAAAATAAGTTTATTTTGAATTTTAATAAACTAAACGTCCACCAAAAAACTTTAGTGAGAAAAATTGAAAAAACGAACTACAAACATATCAACGCCAAACATTCGGTTGAATTTATAGAATATTGTAAAAATTATGGTCTGTTACCAACATATATATATATATATATATATATATATATATATATATATATATATATATGACTTTCTTAAAATTTTGTATATAAAGATTTTTGGATACGGCGGAGAACATGGTTGGGTATGGTTCTAGCTTGCTCCGCCCTGGATCGGTTTGAGAGGGTGGGAAGGAAATTTTTATTAGATTTTAAAACTAAATAATTGATTGGAAAGCTACTAATCCAATTAACTTCAAATTTTTCGAATAACAAGTTTTAAATGTTAATTATGGTTCAGCTTTTATTAATTATATTAATTAACAATAAATTAACGATTTTATTTTGTTTTTTATCCAAATTAATGAAATTCTGCTATTAACTCAACATCTATTATTTGTGAAACGTTACGAAACACGGCGGGTCAGCTTGTATATAATATTTTTGGGTGAGTTTATTTTGCCGAGAAACTACATTGAAAATATACGGATGTAGTTAAATAACACTTCTTTACCTTGACTGGCGGTGGTGTTGATATGTGAGGAACAATTGTTAAATGGTCCGACCCAAATGTTGTTCCTGCAAATCAAATTCCATCGTTCACCTGTATTATAACACGTTGCTTCCAAGTGCTCTCCTTTTCTTCTTATTTTCATTTTCTCCCTATCCATTATATGTGGGTCACTGCATCCCATAACTTGAATGCAAAATTAATTAGTTCATTAGACTGGGAAACCATTTAATTTATTATAAAAATTATATGTTTTGAAAGTTGAACTTTTTATGCGCTTTGGCAGTGCGATTTTATATTTTTACATCCTTAGAAATATCTTGAATGTTTGAATGTTTACTGACACCTAACTGTGACAAATTAACCTGATGCAAATGTTATAATTGCAAAATGTTAGATAACTAGATAATTCTAAAAGCTCACATACCACACACACACACACACACCACACACACACACACACACACACACACACACACACACACACACATTATCACACATAAACTCACTCACACCACACACACACTCACGCATCACGCAGTCACCCTGGCAAAAAATATTTTTCTCTCTTATCACATAATTTACTTTTATTTTGTTTTTTAATTTTTTTTCGAAACTTTAGTTTTAGTTAACAAAAACCAAACATTTCAAATCTCACGTTTTTTTAACAAATTTTACTACAAAGACATAAAAGCTGGTAAAGTCAATTATTCAATTAGAATTGGAATAAATTTGGTCAATTAATTATTTTATTTAGTTTAATGCTCATCAAATAAGATACGCTTGTTGAATATTTATCACAAAGTAAACCTATCCTAAAAATTTTGGCTGGCCATGTGCAATTATAAAATAGAACATAACATGACAAGACGACAAAAAGACAAGTTTGTTAAAAAAAAAGAGAGAAAAATAATAAATACCCCATGAAAAACTTAAAAAAATTTTTATTCCAAAAAAATTTATTATTTTTGTCTTTAAAATTTATTGATTATATTCATTGTATACATTTAATTGATTTTATTTTTTAATTTATTAAATTTAATTATGTCTGCTAAATAATTCTTGCCCTGTCATCAAGAAATTTTGCTCGATTATCTTATTGTAAACTTATGAAATGTCAGTGCCTGCTCAAGGTATTTTGCAGCCCTAAGCAAGATCACAGTTTGCCGCCCTAACTAAACAGCACCAATATATTAAAAAAATACCTTAAAGTTAAACTAAGAGTGACGTACAAAATCGTATGTTTGCAAAACATTAAATCCAAACGGTGCAGACACAAATAGCAAGTAAAATACATACAAAATTGGCATATTTTAACATGACTTAGTGAAAGAAGTTTACTTTCCTACTTTTTTCAGATGTAAAAGCCTTCAATAATTCAATAAAACCTAATTTTTTACCAATATAACTTACTATAGAAATTAAAGAAAGACCAGACAAACGATTTTGTGACGTAGTAGTTCTTATGTAATCTTTAATTAATTTCAGTTTGAAAAACTTCTCTCTCCAGATGCAACTGATTTTTTTTTCTAAGATTATTTTTCAAAACTGTCCATCTACGAGATGACCCACTAAGAAAGTTATAAATGGCTTTACCATTCCAAAATAAGCCACAGCCTCTCTAGATGGTTCTGCAGCATCATTAACGACCAAATTTAATGAATGAGCATGACATGATAAAAAGGGCTCTGCTGTTTTTTTCTAATATTCTTTTCGGCTCTCATGACTGATATCCTCTCATATTCGCACCGTTGTTGTAGCCCTTTACACGCATATAGACCTGTCAGAAGTGGTAGACGCGGTTGTCTGATCATGCTCAAACTTCACAAAGACACTGATTAGATCATATGCCTGCCATATTGATCAAAAAATTAATTAAATTACGTTAATTTATTGGTGGCAACCGAGGAGGCCAGGAAAGTGCCACCCGAACACCAAACTTTGAGATTTCATTTTTTTAATTACAGATATATCTTGTAAAGGCAATTTATTGTTTAAATGAAAACTGGGTAAAGTTAATTGATTGAATTTAATTTAAATAAAGCTTTTTGAAGAAGATATGTTTATCTGATAGCTTTTCCCGAATTACACACATCTTGAAAATTTCTGTGGGCTTGGTGCGTCAGGAGTGTTTTCCAATTTATTTTCAAGTGTATAGGACTTAGAAAACACACATCATATTGAATTTGCAAGAGAAATCCTAGACAACAACACGAAAATAATATAGTGTACGAAAATAATATACTGTAATTTTAGCCATTTCCATCTTAAATTAGCCGAAGCCAACCCCTGATAAACAAACAACGAATTAATTTCAACAATACCTCTGACAAGAAAAACAATAATAAAATATACTAACAACACCAATGGCACCGATAAAGACACTAAAGAAAGCAACATCGACCAAAGTGCTGTCGAAGAGCAAGTAAATGATATCAAAGCAATAATGCACAACATCAAAGCAAAAAAACATAACACCAAAGTAATTAACCCGAACAAATAAATTATATCAATTAATAAAGGAGATAGTAAAATTAACAAATTCAATAATAACAATAAAGAAGAGGGTAAAATTAACAAAGTCAATAATAACAATAAATGCAAATCACAGGAACAAAGCCTGGTTTATGCAAGTTCCATATATAAACTGCAACAAATACTAGGTTATACAAATTCTCTATAAAAACTGCAAAAAGTGCTGAAGATGATTGAAAAATCGAAATAAGTCCTATATACTCGAGAATGAATTTGAAAATTGTATATTAGTCTAACTTTAATAAAATAAATATTGACGACAAGAATTTGGTTAGAAATGTAATGAAAACTATCCAACGCTCGAAATTCTGTAGATGTCATAAATTACTGCATTAATTTTGGTCTTTTACTAGCATTCACTAAAATATCTACGACCAACCGAAGAAACTTAACAAGCGAACATGTTCCATCTTTCTCGAGAAAAAATAGCATAGCAAAATTTAGTCACTCGGTTGTCTCAAAAACTAAGTGATTATGAAAACCAGTGGATGCAAAGTACTATCAACAATATCATTGAATAAGATATTACCAAATGCTTGGAAGAAAAAAATACCAACAGATAATAATCAATTTGAACAATCACAATAAATTTGCCACTCTTATTAAGAACCACTCTTATTAGGTAACAATGATGTGATGGACGATAAGTTTATTAACCTACATAACACACCCTAACTGAAAAGCAAAAAAAATTATTGAACTAGGGACTCAATTGTCACTACATTAAAAAACTTAACAATATTAAAAAATCAATTAAAATTTAAAAGTTAATGAATAACATATTAGATGCTGAACGTAAAGGACAGAAAATAACCAACTCCTCAATAGCAATTGAACCGCTGGCTGAAGCTAAAATGCAACAAAGCAAATTTTTTAGCAAGTTAGTGACTGATGAATCGAAAGCTGCCGCTAAGCAATTGAAAGAGAATAATGATGTTATTGTTAGATCTGACACCTAATTTTCATCTAAGTTCACTTTAACAAAGTGAATATTTCCCTATATAAACTAAATCGCACTGATGATGATTCATTCGGAATCGAAATAT